GTTTCCGTTTCGGGAGCTTCGGAGTAATTCCTGCCGCCGCTGGCCTGACTCCTTCTTTCTTCTCCTCCTCCCTGTGTGCCGCCCCTCCCCCAGCCCGGCGGGCTAAGCCCTCCCGGGAGCCGCGGCCCGGCTGCAGGAGCCCGTCCCACGTGCTTCACATCACCTCTCAGCCCAGCGGCGTCATCTCCTTTCTCTCTCTCTCCAGTGTCTTTTTGCGTAAATTATGCGCCTCTTACAGCTTCTGCCGTGAATTGGAGCAGAGTAAAGGATGTATGGTGTATGTATGGGATTTATTTCGTACTACTGGAGAAAGCAACATATAAAAGTTCAGCCTGTGGTGTTCTCCAGTTTCTTGAAAAATGATGTAATTTAATGTCTTCCTTCCTCCCCCCTTCCCTTTTTTTTTTTTAAACCTACTGGAACATTGGGGATGTAAAACTAGTGATGGTTGTACCATGTCGTTGATGTAATCAAAAGTTATTTTGCAGCATCTCTCAGCTAGTCTTTTTTCCCCTTATTTCTCTAGCAACCAAAACAAAGCCTTTTTTTTCCTACTTTACGCATAACGTGTGTACCTGTCTGTAAAGTATGTTCTAAATGGAGCCCGTAAGAGTGGATTCCTTCATCTATAATGTGAAAATAAGATAAGATTAAGCATATTTGGTGTATAGACTGTTATTTTAATAACCCAGAGGAAGGGGGAAAAAAATCAAATAAATCCTTTCTCTTGACTGAGAAAATTGTTTGTGGTTTCATTAAACTTGGGGATGAATCTTCCTTCTAGGCTTCACCACTGAAAGCTTCTTAACAGTGCATTTATGTGAAGTGTTAGAGGTGTATCACATGTACTTAACATATTAAAATTTTTTCTTAAGCTTAATGAATGCTGTGGCAAATTCAAACCGTGAATTCTTTGTTTTAGCTAGAATTAGAGTTATCTAAACTATGTAATCTTAAAGCAAAATGCTCAAATGGCTCCATCAATGTTGCAGGTGTGCTTCAAAAATACCTCTGATTGTGGATGATTGTAATATGTAGGACTAGATTAACTAAATTCTCTTGCCCTTCTGCATGTAACATGTTCCTTAAGCTGGGGTGGGTGGTTACTTTGGGTTTTTTGTTTGTTTTGTTTTTTTCAGTAACGATACCTCATTAGCCACTAAGAACTAGTGGTACTTTGCAGAATGTGTTTTACACTGCTAATGACAATGATTTAATAAATGATTTTTTTATAACCAATGGCTGTTTCTCCAAGGCTAAGCCTCTACACAATTAATAGGAGCGGTAAGACTGTAAAACATCTAGCAATGCAAGACCACTGTTTTTTTTTTTTAAGGGTAACTTTCTTTCTAGTTGAAAGAGAAGTAATTTATTTTGAACTATGCTGATTTTCCTTTGTTGCTGTGGGGTGTTTCAGTTTCTAAATTCTAATTGCTGAATAGTCCTGAACACTTTAAGTATAAATGCAAGTGCTTCAGATTTTTTTGATACATAGTCTGTAAAAAAATACATTTTTTTATTATTATTTTTTTCAGGAAACACATGAGGAGCATGACACTTCAACTGAAAATGCAGATGATTCTAACCATGATCCTCAGTTTGAACCCATAGTTTCCCTTCCTGAGCAAGAAATAAAGACTCTGGAAGAGGATGAGGAAGAACTTTTTAAGATGTAAGTAGAATGTTTCTCTATGTTATCTAAATATTTATAAAGCTTAAACTTTTGGATGTTTAATGAAAAGCTAGATAATTTATTAGAAATTGCTGTATATGAAGTGGTAATCTAAGTTGTTTGATATTAAACTGAGGTGGTAGAAATTGAATGGGGGGTGACTAGTAGTAGTAATCTGGTTTCAAATCCTTTAGCTTAGCCTAAAGGAAAGTGTTAGCTTAGAGTTATAGCTAGAGGCTTGGCCATGTGTTATCACAGTATAAAACAAATATCTTGGAAAAAAGATGTAGTGTTGCTGCCACATAGCCCCAGTTTTAAAAGGTGGTGCATAATGCATTGAAACAATAGAAGCAGTAGGTGAAACATGTTGTTGGGGCAGTTATGGCACTAGCTTTCTATTGTTTTAAACATAGTTTTACTCTTAGATTGCGTTTACTAATTCAATATTGAGAAATGCCAGTTCAGGATAGTTTGCTTAAGACCTTAGACATGTCTAAAGAAGTGTGTGGGATAAAGGGTTAAGAGGTGTTTTGAATTTGATCCATGATGTGCCTTCTTTAAATAGGTCTGAAAAAACACTGCTTTTTCTTAATCTCAGAAGGGTATTCTTCATCTAGACGAGAGGTTTGAGTTCTCCTCAGACTAATTCTGGTAAAAACTAAAGTGAAGATAACTTTTAAACAGTAGCATGGTGATTTCTGACCATTTAGGCCTCTCTGCATGTGATGTGCAGGATGAGATAGAAAGAAGATGCTTGGTTCATTTAAAAAAAAAAAAAAAAGTGAGCAAATAAATGAATCTAAAACAGAACTTAACTATTATATCTGGAAAGGGGTGGCAGAGAGGGAATCCTTTTTGGATGCTGGTTGTTCTGATAGCTAAACTACTGGGAGAATCACCTCCTGAGTGCTAGTTGGACTTGGAAAGAATTTGGTTTGAACTAACGTAGTTCATCTGCAGTGCTTCTGTTGGTCTAGCTTACTTCAAACTCTGCTTTCTCCTATTCTAAGACCTGGTGCATTACAAGCCTCTACCTCCTGCCCTTATGTAGAGAATTATAACAATCCAGCTTCTTCCTAAACTGTTCTATAGAGATTGTTACCTTCTGGTTAGGGCTGTCTTAGTAAGACCACATTTCTGAAGTTTTAAAAACAACTGTCTCAGTATAAACACTTCCCTGCTACGCATAAAGGACCAATGCAGAATTTATGCTTTTATCTGAGATGCACCTACAAGGAATTAGCATTGCATGAAGGTGAAGTGTGAGAGTTTCTTATTTTGTTCGATGGGATTTTTATTGTCTTTTATTTTGATCCTGTAGCATGAACAGATGCTTCTGTTTCTATAGTAGTGTCCTAAGCACTTCCAGTAGCAGAGCTCCGCAGATGGTCTCTTGGGTCAGCACTGACTAATCTCCTAAACTATTCCTGTTTCTCCTTTGACACCCTGGCTTCATGGAGTGTTAGTGATGTTCTGAAGTAGCTGTGTTGCACTGCAATGCAACACTAAGCTTCCTTTATTCCTGAATAAGCAACAAGAAGAAGACAAGAAGAATAGCAACAACTAGGTGTTTTTGGAGTTGAAAAGAAATGAGTGGTTCTAGAGGGTCTGGTGCCTCTTGTTAAGAGATGATGATCAAATATTGGGCTTGGAATTATACAAAAGTCTTTACTTAGTCTCAATTTGCTCAATTTCTTGAATTCATAAATACTGTTGGTTGGCTGTAACAGTTATATTCCAAATACAGGAAGAAACTCCAGTTATAACAAAAGCTATTAATTGACTACCTTAATTTAAAAGGTTATCTGCACCAAGTAGCTCTACCATCCCCCAAAAGCTTGTCCAGAACCTATTTAACTTTTGTACAGATATTTTGTAATTTCTAATAGCTTGTTAAGAAACTTGATTATATATCGGTTTCCAAGACTTTATGCCATAGTGGATCAGGGTCATTAAGGTAAAGGACCTGTTTTCTTTCCTGTGTAGCTTTAAAAAAAAGTGTACTGTCCCAGGTGAGTATGTTATTTCAAATAAAGTTTTTGCATGCAGGCTTACGTTTTCAATTCTCTCTTCTTTAAGGCGAGCAAAGCTATTCCGATTTGCATCTGAAAATGACCTTCCAGAATGGAAAGAACGAGGAACTGGTGATGTAAAACTTCTGAAGCACAAGGAGAAGGGAACAATTCGCCTCCTCATGAGGAGGGATAAAACCCTAAAAATCTGTGCAAACCATTATAGTATGTTACAAATTGTTATACTAACTTTTTTAGAAGCGAAAATAATAACCTTGAAAAATGATGCATTGTAGATTACCAGACCAGTAGCTTTTTAGCAGCAGTTAAGAGAATTGCTGTGTCTTTAAACAGGAATCAAACTTATATTAGACCATAATTGTAGTCATCTCTTGCTCTATGTGCAAGTAGGCTATAATAATTAAAAACGTGAGTGCTTATTTTTATTAATGGAAAGAAACCATAGTTGATTTTTGGTGAAATCCTACAACGTTGAGTCTGAAAGCTGGCTTTTTCCTTTCAACTCTTAAGTGTTTTTTAAGACATATGTTTAAATTTAGCTGGGATAGACAGACACAGCGTGATTGCTACTGATGTTTATTTTTTTCAATAAATTGTAGTAAATGTAGGCCTTAATACTGTTAGCATAAGAAATCGATGTCTACAGGCGTCTCTTCCCAAGAGAAATAAGCAAACAATTGTATCATAATTTAGTACTTTGAGTCAAATTGCTGAATTAGTAGAAGCAATTACCTAAACATCAGAAAGCAGATACTGATGCCAAACTAATCTGTAGCTGCCTTTCTCTGCTTGTGAAATAAACGGAAATGAATGTGGTATATTCAGCTAGTTCATTGAAAAAGAATGTGTTTTGAGAGCTGATGGAGCTGGGGGGGGGTCCTTTGGTCCTCTTTGAACAAAAATAAACATAAAATGGCAAGACATGGAAATTTGAAAATCAATGTGACCAGCAGTGACTGGCCTAACTCAGTAACACTTTGTTTTGAGAGTATATAGCATTCTGTGGAGTTAAGCTACATTTAGATAGCTTTTGAAAACATTTTGCTCAATGTGGCTTTATACCAATCTGAAGTCAAAAGCAATAATCCTCGCTTGGACAAATTTCTTGGTGAAGTGAAACTATTTAGAGGACTTGGATCAAGTGAAAGAAATGACAAATATAAAAGTAGTATAGTCACTGACTGATAAACCTTTTGTTTTGGAAAATAGTGACATGTATAGAAAACTGGTCAAAATGGATAACTTTATAGCATCCATGTCAATGCTACCTGGACTTTTTTCCTAGAAAAGCTGCTTGTAGTATAGGTTTTTTTTTTGGTAACTGAATTTATGCTTATTCACAGACAAATGTAGGAACTCTTTATTTTGCAAAACATTACATAAAATGAAATACAATCTCTAAATGGAAGAAAGCGAGCAGATTGTCTAAAATTTCCCCTGATTTGAAAAAAAAGGATCCAGGGTCTGCAGAAGACCCTGTGTATTTACAATGTAAAAAGGCTGAGAGTAATGAGAGAAGCAGCATTCCAACTTTTCCAATCAGTCAAGTTAAATAATTACAATATCTCTGGGGGGAAAAGCTCCCTTTCTGTGGGCTTATCACTAGAAAGGAACAAAGTAATTGAAAATGTTGTGCACATCTTATTGCGCTGCAGAATGTTACAGTATCTTGTAGTAGAGCTTTAAATTGTTGTGGAGAGATATTAACCTAATTAGATGACCAGTTGTAGGTATAATTTTTTTTTAAATAGTTTCTTGTAGTATACAATATTACCAGTATGCAAAAGAAAGCTATTTTTCTGCCTGGGTGCCTTTTTTACCTGAAGCATTTGACTGTTTCTCAGAGTTGTATTTAGCGGCTGCTGCTCTCTTAATATACCAGCCCTCTCTTTTAAAACGCAGTTGAATCATACTTGCAGTTTCTTAACTGAGTAATAGTGAATCTAGCATTCTTTTATACAGAAATGGTCTTGCGTCATGTTATTTGAGGATGTAAATAAAAGTATATTTGGGCACCGTTGTTTTTCTATTTATCCAAAAGTAGTGCTGTTTAATGTTTTTTACGTAAGCGTTACAAAGTCAGCTGTCAGTAAGGCTTAGGGAGGCTGGTGTGGAAAACATTTACTATTATGGTCTGTACATCTTTCAATGTTTTCTTTTCAGTCACGCCCTTAATGGAGCTGAAGCCTAATGCTGGGAGTGACCGGGCATGGGTCTGGAACACACATGCTGACTTTGCAGATGAAAGCCCTAAGCCTGAACTTCTGGCAATCAGATTTTTAAATGCAGAAAGTGAGTGGTTTGGCACTGAGCTTATATTAATTATGTACTGTATGTTACACTAAATGGCTAAACATTACTGTAAACCACTGTTGTAGATACGCCGCATCTTATCACTACATAGAGAATTGGCTAAATAGTGCTTTATCTGAGAGAAGTCAGTTAATTGAGTTACATACGTAGACAAATAAAAGCAAGGAAACACTGTTTTTTTGGTCCATCTCCATTAGCAGACCATCTGATTGTAATGAGGTATATAATATCTTATTTCTGTTCTGATTTTCTGTTTTTGGTTTTGATTAAATGGAAAACCTACTCAGTGGAATGTACTATTCGAATCCAGCTCCCATACCAGTTGGGAGGTATTTTTTTGGAGTGAATACTTTGACTACCAGAAGGGAAAGTAGGTCCTTAATTGCATGTAGATCAGCTAGTAGAGGTGAATGAAGCTGCAGCTTCCCCATCACTTCATACTTAGGAATGAGTCAAAGGTTGCTTGTTTTGTTTCTTTTTTTTGTTTTGTTTTCCCTCTGTTCTTGAAAAAGATGCAAAATGAGAAAGGACAAGAAATGAGAAACAACAAACAATGTTTGTTGTTTTTCCTGCTTTACTGCAATAAATGACTAGTGGGTTAGCTGCCTCTTAATTCTACCTGTGGGCTTGAGGAAATAATGATGGCTGTATATTTTAAAAAACCTCCTTCAGTTTTTGTCTCTTCTGGTGTTAACTCTCTAAAGAAGTTAAGAACTATTGGAGAGTTAAGGCCTTGAATAGCTAGTGAAGTGGTGCAATCAGCTCGACTTTTTCCCCCCCCTTTCTTTATCTTCCTACTAAACGTCTCTGTATAGGCTGGCCTTTTAATGGTATTAGTGTCCGGACCTCATCTAAAATATCCAGATGTAACATATGAACAGGAAGGCAAGATGGTAACTACTGTGAGAGGAATACTACCATGTGTTCACACACCCGCTGGATGGATTTCCCTGTATCCAGGATGGATTCTAGTATATCTTGCTTTCTAACTTTTCCTCAAGTCTTAGCTATGTTATTGTTTAGCCCAGTACATCTTTCTGGTCCACTAGCTTAGTGCTTGCTACTTTCTTAATCAGATATGAAATAAAAGGTTTTTGGTAATTATTAGCCTGTCTTTGAAAAGTCTTTCCTTCTTTCCAGTACAGGTTGTTTAGCTTATTGAGGGATTTCCTCTTCTCTATTAATGGAGTAGTTCTGTTTTTCTCTTTACCCTCTGCAGTACCACCTAAGGAGATAATAGGTGAACAGGCATAAGTATGCCCTTTGTGAGTCTTTTTTAAAGATACTCGAAGAGAAATCAATGTAAAATAAGTAAATACTTCCTAAACTATTTTCATAGTGGCTTCTGAATTTTCTGTGGGGCCACAGTGACCTCAGGTGGTCAAAGTAGACATACCAGATTACTATCCGTATAGTTGTGGTGTTAAAGTCCTTTGCGCCTGATGAGCTTTTATCTCTTGCTCTTTAGATTATTTGTATTGCATGTTATTATTATTATATTGTATTGATTATATTTTGCAACTTAGGATGAACTGCTTGGAGGGACTTTTAATTCAAGCAGTGGCTTAGACCAAAACACAATGAAGACTAAGCTTTCTTGGCTGTTGTAGTCAGGTATAACTTGAGTCTTGGTCTTTGGTATTGAATCTGAATGTTGTGCTAATGAGAGGTTTTTATCTTCAATATTTGATGCTGAGACCTTAAGATATGGTACAGATTTGCAGGTCCTTCAGAGATGTGTGTAAAGTATTTTGTGGCTTCTTGTATAAATTTAAATTGGATTACTTTATAAATGCCCACAAGCTTTGTTTTCAAAAAAACTTTGACTCTTGAAAGTATTCAATGTTGCAAGGAGATAAAGCTGATGAAGAAATATTCTATCTTTACTGAAACAGATGCACAGAAATTCAAGGCAAAATTTGAAGAATGCAGGAATGAGGTAGACAAGAGAGCAAAGAAAGGTAAGTTTTAAAATATGGAGGTGTGGTACCACGCGCCGCTTGTTGTTAGTGTTTGGGCGGTGATAGCTCCACGAAGTATCACTGCCTTTCAGCAGACTCACTCTGTGCCGAACTGCAGTCCTTCAGTTCAGGTGCTTTTTCTGTCTGCGAAAGCAATAGTTCATGGGTGTGAAAAACACTTCTTTCATGTAGAAGTTTGTTACAATTGCTCTTGGGACATTGCTTTTTGGGGGAAGGCTTTGCTGAAGCATTTGTGATGTGCGGTACATAAATGTAAATGCTGTGAAGACAGCAACCACCCTGGTATTTCTTCCTTTCTGTTTCCTTTCCCCTCCCAAAGTTCTACAAATATATAATCATGCAAGTAGGACACTTAACTTCTAGAGCTGTTAACGTGTTCCAAGTTGTAGCATTTCTTAACAAGTCTTTTTTTAATGGCTTAGTGCATCAACTTGTGTAACTTTTCCATGGCAGTGTGTCTTACTTTGTAAAATAAACATCTCCATCCTCCTAAAGTACACATTACTAGCAATCTGCAGTCAGAACTATTCAAGATATTTAGGTGGGAATTGTTCAGTGTTAAGAACTTCCTTCCTAACTGTTGTAGTTCCAAACTGGGGAACTTGACTTTTGGGAAGTCTGTTTTTTGGTTGAAGATAGGCATGAAGCTAGAAAACAGCTGGAAACAGCATGCAGTCTGTTTTTAGTAGCAGTGAGGCTTGACTGAGAATTTCCTATTTCTCAGTCACTATGATTAGGCTCTCATTTAGTAATTAAAATGTGCAAGTGGTATTTCTTGGATTTTGTTATCAGAGATTATTACTGAAGGAAAAGAAACAGCACAAATTACTCCAGTGTTCAGTGGAGATATTTCCCCTTTTGTTCTTATTCTAAATACCAGCTGTTGTCTTCCTACCCCTTTACCCTTTCTGTTAACATGTGTCAAAAGAAAATCCAGTACTGCATGTATGTAACTTTGTCTAATCAATCTCTTAGCAGGCACAGACAAAAATGATAGTGCTGATAAAGTTGCTGAAAAGCTAGAAGAGCTTTCTGTAAAGGAAGAGAGCAAAGAATCTGAGAAGAAAGAGACCAAGGAAAAAACTGAAGAAAAGCAATAAATCATCCTGGGCCTTGTGATTTTTTTTTTCCTTTATTTTTTTTCTTTTTTTCCTCTCTTTTTTTTTATTTTTCAAGGGACTTTACAAGAAACTGAATTCAACATTCAGGTTGTTTTTTCTAAGCTTTTGTCCTTTTGAAGATGTCTTCAGAAAATGCATTCCCTGGTCATGAAAATGTACTGTGCTAACTTTCTTTTCCATAGTGGAAACACTTATTTATAGTCATCCAAAAGAGTGAATAAAACAAACTTGAAAACAGCATCAGAGGACAGAACTGAGTTTTCTGTATACTTCAAAGGCTTGTGAATGCAGTTGTTTCATTGGGTGTTGAGATGCATATCTTTATACATGTGGATTAACTAGGTTAACAGACTTTACTAACAGGGAAGATTAAGATTACATACATGTTTCTTATATGGCTTCTAAAAGTGTAATATAATAGACTTCACTTTTTTTTTTTTTTTTTCTCTCTTGCCTCCCTGGTGTGTTCCTGAGCATGAAGCGTGCCTATGATTCTTGAAATGTAGCAGACTTCTGGAATCAGGAGGTAGAGCGTTCCTGGCACACTATTAATGATGTCCCATTGGGCAGTATAAGTAAAGGTGGGGGAGGGAACATATTACATAGAGACTTAAGTAGTTTTTTTCCTCTTATGAAACAAAATCTACCATGCCCTGCTTCTGAAATTAGTTAATACAAGCAAAAGTGCTTGGGTCTAGCACAAAGGTGTAGCTGTGATCCCAGATGTTTCATGTTGTGCTACTTGCTGACGTAAGGAGGTACCAGCCTTTTATATAAAAGAGTATACAAAGGAATCTAATTGTTTAAGTAGCTTGCCATGATATGCCCTGTGTCAGCATATCATAACAGTTGTACTCTAAAATTTGTAAGCTTTTTTCAGGGCTTTGGAGCTTGCATTACTTCTATAAATTGGAGGGTTTATGAACTTTTCAAATGCATAATGGGAGGTTATCCCCCCTGGAAGGAGAAGGTCTGACATTCACTTAAAAACAATTATGCTGTACATACTTGAGGGGAGCTCAACGGGCGAATCGATCAAATTTCTTCCCCTCAGGTGCTTACTGTTTCTCCAGTTTCAAGTTACTGCTACAGAGTGGGAGAAAAAAATTATACTGAGCAACAAAATCCACATGGTTTTTAAAAAAAAAATCTGATAAATTAACCACTGTTCATCACTAATACAAAGTTAGCAAGAGAATCCTGTATAACTTTTTCCAAAATTACAAAAACTGGATGAAACTTAACTTTAAGACTGATGATGTTAATATTGGATAGCAAGACCTTTTCTCATCTTCACCAAGAAGCTTTCCAAACTGGTTAGGCGCTATAATCCATCTGAGAAAAATACATTTCAAAGCTATCTTGTATTTCTACTTAGCGCTGCCTTTTGATGCTATAATAGTGAATTAGTCTTAAATCTGGAGCTATAACTAAGGTAATCACTTTATTCAAACAGAGCAATTCCTTTGGTGGTGTTCATGTTCCTCTTCAAGTACAGCAGGTATCAGATGTCTGTTAATTAAAAAAGATGAATGAAAGCTAAAATAGAACGCTCTTTAGTGTTTCTGGTTTGGAAATAACAAGTAAAAGCTATTCTTAAATACTTAATATTTGAATGTAAAAGCCAAAACTTTATATGTGAGTCACTGTAAATTATCTGATCTGATAATGTCAGTGTGTCTAAATTGATAGAAATGACACTTAATTTCAAAATAAATTTAAATTTTCATTTAAAGGATTTGCTTTTTATTTGAAGAACTCTTACTGGGAATGCATTTCTAGCCTGCAGGATAAAATGTGGTAAAGAAGGCAGACTGAACTGTTTTGATTTTGCTGTCAAACATTGTATTGAAGAGGGGCGGAAACATTAAAAAAAAAAAAAAAAAAAAAAGACTTAAATTAAGTCTTAATCTTAAATATTAAGAATGACAACTCTTCTTACTTTTGTTACCCTTTTTCTCCCCTTCCCAATTTTTACTGGGGAATTTTTTCCCCATTTTTGTTCATATATGCGTAAATGATTTCCAGACGCTTCCCTTTTTACCTTTTTAACTGGTCCATGCTTATAAGTAGTTCATGATTTACAGTTGCCCTTAATGCAAGTCTGAGATCTCAAAGAGCCAAGTTATGAGGACCACAAAGTAAAATAATTTCTAATGGATAGCATCATATTGAAGAATGTCTTAGTCATCCAAACTAAAGATTTGGTTAGTCATTGTTCTGGCCACTTTAGAAGCTGTAGGTGTGTGCTCTGCGGATTAATAGGCAAATATTTTTGAAGATTAATCTTGATTGAAAGAAGGCTTTTTTGCATAAGTTATTCTAATAATAAAACTTTCTATATGTAACACTGACTACCAATAAATGTCCTTGAGATTTTTTTTAAGTTTACTGTATGCCAGGTGTTCTAGGGTTCTAGTTGATTGTAGCTTTTTCTTAGCTCACAAGGTGTTAAACGTTCATACTTTCACAGCATCTTCACTGTTAACAGGGTTCTTGAAATGATAGAACCTGACCTCTCCTGTCTCCACAGTAGTCTTAAAACAATAGCTAGGAAGGTAGACTTTTATGCAAAAGTTGCTTCATAACTTTGCAGACCACTACTAAAACATGTCAATTGTCATATACTCATTTCTAATGTGACAGTAATGTAAGTGATTTGAATGTTCATGAACCTGTTTGAGGGTATCATATGTGATATAAAAAAGGATCATTCAGAAACTGTTTTCTAATAAATTGTTCAGATGCAATATAGACATTCACTGAATCTGTAACTAATTTCTGTGCTCTCTGGGGTGTATTTGAGATTTAATTTGTCATCCTGGATTCTAGGCTATTTTGACACCTGCAGTTGAGTAGGTAGTATTTGTGAAGAATAGTCTTGGGTGTTTCACTAAGATGAAGTCAGTGGTTACTTTCCCTTTTAATTCCAGTGAGGCAATTGAACTCCTAGCGTGCTTAAACGTTGACTGAAATCATGGGCATGTGAAGTTTTATTAATGCAGCTGGCTAGGGATGAAGTCACTGTGAGCACTTCTAACTTCCATAGTTGACAGTGATTGAGGATATGGCTGAATGTTACAGAAGACGTGAGCGAAGCTTTCTAGAGGTTTTAATCCATTTTCAGGAGAATTTTATCTGGAAACTATGGCAGGAATGGTAAAACATAGCCATGTGCTTGACTTTTCAATTTTGGCAAATTCTGTTTGCTTCAAGTGCAGAAATGCTATATAGCTAGGCTTAACAGCTCAGCCTTTGTTGGCGCTAATGTTTCTGTGTGTGTAGAAGACTGAGTGGATGACTGTCTGAGGACGTTTGTAGTGATGAATCTAGTTTAGTACCAAAACACTGTTGTCTTAAAAGATAAATCTACCTACTAAAGACTTAAAGTATGGGTTGTAAAAATAAATTCAAGGCAATTTTTCCTTCATTAATTATTTTGAAAACTACCCTCGTATTTGTTTTCCTCCAGGAGTAGGATTGTACGTCACGTCTCATCCACAAATCGCAAACACCCCAATTTGCTGTATTTTAACACTGTAATGATATTTTTTCCTGTGTAATGAGGTATCTTGTATTGAACACTTAAGTACTCTATGATACCAAACACTCAGAAAATTAAAATTCTTCTCAACACTAAGCAGATGTGAGAATGTTGTGAATCTTTGTTTTTGATGCAACGCGATCTATAGGGAAAAAGCAAGAATGAGGGTCTTGAGTATTCTTTCAAGCTTGGTACTAAACATCTTAGGATTTTTTTCAATTTAAAATTATGAAGCAGTAAATGGAAGTATAAGGGATTAATATGTTCATATCCCTTCACCATGGAAAGAATTGTGATGAGGCTGTGCCCATCACATAGGAGGTGGGGTGAGGTTTGAAGGCACACCACCTCTTTTCTCACTTACGGTTCTCTGCATGGGTGTGTGGGAGGCCTCTCCAAGAAAAAGAACAACATCCAATTCTGAGTTCAGACAGCTCAGGTTGATAATCTATTGCTGCTGAACTGCAATTATTTGTGTAGAAATGGAGATTGTGGGGAAGACAACATGATATTAACTGCCTTGTTTTTTTGGTCTTTTATTTATGAAGATTGCCACCAGCTTTCAATGCTGAGTAGTTAAACAGCTTTTATATTGTTTATTTAAAACAAAACAAAACCTCTGTCCAATTAATCTAAAGCAGAAAGCTGTTTAGCCTGCTCTGTGTATATGCTTCTGTCCCCTGTACGCCTATCTCTTCTGGCTTTGATGGGGTGGATGGTGCTTAACTTTCCTCTAGTTTCTCCTAATGTTTGCGCTTTTTTAATCAACAAGGTGATACTGGACCGGGAGAGTTGTACGTGAGGAAGACCCTAAAGTCAGAATGATTATGGGAACACTTGATTTCCAACAAAGTTCAGTCAAACCTTAATTGTGAGCAAGTGCAAGCTGCTGAAATGATGTGTTCGATTTCTTAAACTTGCTTATGAATCAAGTATGTTTCTAGCAAGTTGCATTTTCTAGCCTATCTATGGCTTCTAATGCATTAATTTTTGATTAGCTAAATTAACTTCAAAGAAATGTTACTTAAGTCGCTGAGGTCTTGCTTACATGTAAACATGCACGGGTTTAGTTAAGTCAGGTATGTATAAAGGGACTTTGTTTTTGCTTTTGTAATGGTTTATTTAGGTTAACTTTAAAGCTCTTCCTAATTAGATTTAGCTAAAATTAATCTTACTTTAAAACATAGAGGAGGAATGGGCCAGTCTTTGACTAACCTTAATTAAATCTTTTGACCATGTATCATTTTCAGAGTCAGGAGATAAAGAAAACTCTAGCTGCAGCAGATCAGAGTTATTTTGCTCAATGAAGAAGTTTGAAGTACTCAGCTGTGGAGTGGATTGTATGTGTAAGTAGACGGTAGTTTACGTGAAAACAAGGTGCTCTGTCAAATGAGCAGCTTGTACAATTATACAATAAAGAAAACATGGTTATAGCTGTGGGAACCCACAAGCACAGGAGCCCAAAATGCTCCTTTATATAAGAGTTGAATAGCTATTAGTATCTACAGCTACACATCAAAGTTATGATCACTGTTGTATTTTTCTAATATGCAAATTTAAGTATGGAGCATCTTCGTCTGCTTCTGGCACACTGGGCATTAATCACGGACTTAAAATCCCTTCATACTTAAAAGACTTTTTTTGTGTAACTAGTTTGCTATGGTCTCCCAGTGAAAATGCAATCTACGTTAGTTCCTTAAATACAATGTATTCGCAGAAACATGTTTTTGAAGGTATTAATGGTAAAGGTAGGTTTGTGCGGTATTGTTTGTCTGTTTTATGCTCCTAACCAAAGCAATGGCAAGCATTTAAAGTACGGACCAGGTGTTAGGCACAATTCTGGATTAGACGCCATGTATTGCAAAGTATTTTTGGTTTGAGGAAGCTGTCTTGACAGCTGAGTGTTTCATGAACTTTATGTTCCTGATGTTTTTTCAGAGATTGTATTTTCAACTTTCGATCTGGAGAATTCCACATTTTCTTGTTTAGATCAGTCTTCATTACAAATTTATATCAGCTGATTCAGTGTATTGTAAATTTTGACTGTTATATTGAGACGTGCAGTTTACTCATGAGTTAACAGAAAATATTGTGCTGGCTGTCCTCATTTCTAGCTAAACCTATGAAGTTTTCTAATGCTGTTTTTCCATAAAAGCAATTATAGCTCTGTAAACATCAACCAAGATGAATTGGGACGTAAAAATGACTGGATATTTTGCATTCTCTGGAGGAAATTTCTCAAGAATAGGCAACTGTGTAATTAATGTGACACTGCTTCATATAAATAGTGTACTATCAGACTTAGTAGCTTAATTTCTTTGCTGGTCCATGAATCACTGTTGGCTCTCTGCATTTCAGCAGCGTGATTCGGAGTGACGTTCCGTGCTAGCGGAGGAGAACTGCACTCTGTTAACGGTTTTAAATCGGATGGTGACTCTTCAAAGCTGCTCAAAGCCCTACGTTATTCCAGTGTGAGTAGTTCCTTATGGGGGTGGTTTAGGAGTCAGGATGTCAGTGAAGTGATTAAAATGTCACAGTAAATGCAACTTTACATGCCTTATCACTGCAGTTGGGAAATACATGTTATATGAGTTCTTCTAACTGATACGTTTTGAGCAAATGCTATTCTGTGGAAAATATCAATTGGAAGACTCTAGAAACTGATGGAGGATTTCTGTTTAGGCTACTAAAAAGTGTATTTATTAAAAAATTATTTCTCAGAGCCAGTCCTGCATTGGCCTTGTGGAAGGAGGGGGAAGGAGATGCGAAGGAGGGAGCTCCCATTTTGTATATAGAAACTCAAGTGGAGGTAAACTTAAAATTCTAAATAATTAAAGTAGAGCTTGTAGTTAGGAGAAATTTGGCATTTCAATGGATGATGGATGGATGGGGTGGAGAGATACCATGCAGTATCTTTATACTTAGTATACCTAATATCAAATATGCTTGGATAACTAAATGAAAATTGTCATAATAAAGTGCCAGTGGGTAACTTAGTGGGCCTAGTTTGTACCTAGAACTGTCCAGCCTTGCTTGGACGTTTTACCATACCATGCTCTGCGTGGACCCAGATGTCTTCTGCACTGCACACTACGTGTTTAGAAGAAAAACGGCATTTACTGAACGTAATTGCTGATTCTGCAGGGTCCTGTCACGGGCATCTTCAACATTAAGCTTGGTGATCTTTGGCTATTTTGAACATAGCCCCGTAGCAGGTCACTAGTACTAAACAGGTTGGCAAATATATTTGTTTTTGTAGCAAATCCAATAAGAAAAATAGAATAGTTTATTCAGGTCAACCTAAATTGCCTAATGACCAACAAAAGATCCAGCGATTTTCAGTACTTCAGAGTATGCAAAATAAAAGGATTTTATTCACTGTGTAGCTAAGATTCCCAGCTAAAGTTGGTGCAATGATTTGATATGAAAATTGCCTGCGTTTCCTTTCATCTTACCAGCTTTCAGAGTGGTATCCTGGTATGTGTCTCCAACGCACAGTTTCTGTGGTTGACCCTTTCTCTTTTGGAGTGAGACCTCAGAGTAAAACTGCGCAAAAAGACATGCAGTTACTAGCCAGACTCTCCCAGATTACTTTTAGGCTGTTCTCTGTAGACAGCTGTCTTAGTTCTTTGGGTAGTCAGTAAGTCTTTCCTAGCCCTTGCTGCCGTTGTTGTTTACCTCAGGGCTGCAGAAATCTTCTGGACTGCTGATCAGGTGGTGAGAATCCCAGAACTATAGTCCATGAAATAGAGCCGTTCCAGGAAAGCAATTCTCAGACGTGCCTGTGCTTTGGTCAAGAGCTCCTCAGGCATCCTTACTGTTTGGACTCATCTTATGGCTTTAGATTTACTTGCCTGTTAATACTGAGATTGTGCGTTGCTCAGCAGTGCTTTATGCTGTCTTGAAAATAGACATGTTTTCAAGAACCGGGAGGTTAGTGGGAAGGAAATGAGGTGAACTGTGGGAATTGTTCCAGAAATTTGTTGCTTTCTGATAGGTCATCTACAATGTGCAGCATAAAAACAAACAAACAAACAAACAAGCAGAAAACCTCAAAACAACTCTGCATAACATTGCAGCATTGCAACAGGGAACATCTCAGCCCTCCTTTGAAAATGCTGGTCTGCGTGACTGCACTGTTACATAGCAAAAGCATCTTGAACGCAGGGCAGCTGTGCAGTGCAGACCAGCATTGCACAGGGATCTTTGATGTTTGTTGGACTACAAGAAAGCTTCTGGTTTGGAGATGCTCCTTTTTTGTTGCTATGAAAGCTACAACTCTTTATGGTACTGTTAACTGTTGCTGGTTGCTTGCTTGCTCTCTCTCTGTAACAGTGTTGCATGACTGGGAGGAGAGAAAAAAAAAAAAAGACCAAGCTGCTCGCTGCTGAATTCCTCTCTGCAGAAGTGGAGTGGCTTTAAGAGGCTGGTCCACTAAATGGGACTGTTAGAATGAGACTTCACGGAAAAGAGGGAGATAAAAGGAAAACTGTGCTGGAGGGTGGACAGAGAAGCACTGAATCCTCCTCACTTCCCAAGCTTGCCTTTGAGAAGTAGACCCTCTAGAGAGGTAGAAAGGTAAGAATCCTTCCAGGAAAAAAAGCACTAAAAGTAGT